GTTGAAAAAGCAAACTTGGCCCAGCAACAAAATTTGGGATAAAATAACAACTACAATTATATTTTAAGGGAAGTTAATGCATGTCTGTGTCAGAGCAAAGGGATCTTCTATATTAAAAGTGACTTAGGAAAAGTTAGCACCCCACAGAGTTCACAGAATCCTAGAAACCTGTGTTTGCCCTTTCAATCTCAGTAGGGAACTAGTGCTAAACAGATGCTAAAAGCCCCTGCTTCTGTTCAGGACTCCTTTCTTAATGTTGCACCCAAGCTAAAGAGTGGTTCAGGAAATAATTATGCTGCCTACTCCAAGTTGCTATAACAACATAGTTGTCAAAATAGCAGGCCACTCTGCAGGTGTCAGATTAGCCTTTTCTAGATTATTAGATCACTTCTGCTCCTGACACATCTTCAGTGGCCTGTTAAGAGGGTAGGCTGGAGCAACCAGCTGAAGCAAATGGTCACACACTAGAAAAGGCTGAAGAGGAGAGTGTGGAGAATTGTGGTACTTCTTTCATATATATTTCAACAAACGCTGCTTCAGATCTGGAGATGAATCCACTCTATATAAGTAAACAGAATGATTCCTTGATACTATGTGTAGGACTAAGTAGTATCTGCTTGAAAAAAATTCAGTATTTCCGGGACAGTAAAAAAAGGGACCTCTTGGCACTGTTCACCTCTCATCTGTCAGTTTGTTTTGTTGTAGTGGATTGCTTGTTGCTCTGATACTGGAAGTGATGCAACAAGTATTTTAAATGGCAGCGGGGTCACCCATATTGGACAGGTTTCAGCAGGACTTCCAGACTAAGACAGACAAGGAAGAAGTAGAGTAGACTACTTCTGACTGTGTAATGACTGAAAACCTTCGGAATAACAGCAGAACACTGTCAGAGATAGTACCAGAAGATGAAAACATTACAGATACCATCAGAATATGGTTAGATATAGTTCTGGAAGATAAGTCACTTCAGTTGGAAGGCACTCAAAATAGAGCTGGAGAAGAGCTTCCTTCTCAAAGTTGAGTTGGTCTCAAGGATGTGAATGGTGTAAAGCTTTCAGGACCTTCATTTACTAATGGGGTACATACAGATCAAACTAAGAAACAGCTACAAATATCCTTTAATAATTAGAATGAGGAATTTAAAAAGCATCAATCTAAGAAAACTGGAAGTTGTCAAAAATGAAATGGAATATGTAAAGATTGATATCCTAGGCATTAGTGAGTAGAAATGGACTGGACCATTTTCATTCTGTTAGTCATATGATTTACTATGTTAGGAATAGCAAATTAAAGAGGAATGGTGATTCATTCATCATCCAAAAGAACATTTCAAGATTTACCTTTAAGTACCACGCTGTCTATGATGGGATACTATCCATATGCCTATAAGGAAGATGACTTAATACTACTATTTTTCATATTTGTGAACCAACCATTAATGCCAGTGATGATGATCTTGAGGAATTCTATCAACTTCTGTAGTGTGAAATTGACCAAACAAGGAATCAAGATGCATGGCCATTTACTGGTGATTGGAATGCAAAGGCTGGAAATAAACAGGAAGGACCATTAGTTGAAAAACATGGCCTTGGTGACAGAAATGATGCTGGTAATTGCATGACAGAATTTCACAAGACAAATGACTTATTCATGGCAAATACCTTTATTTAATTACATAAAATACAATTATATGTAGAAAGGAAAGAGACCCAAGATAAGCAAAGTACTGCTTAAGAAGAAGAATAAGGTTGGAAACCTCTCACTCCCAGACTTCAAAATTTACTACATGGCTACAGTGGTCAAAACAGCTTGGTACTGGTACAATGAAAGACACATTGATCAGTGGAACAAAATCGAGAATCCAGAAATTAAAATTAACCCATCTACATATAGCAAACTGATTTTTGACAAAGTACCTAAATATATCGCATGGGGAAGTGATAGTCACTTCAACAGATGGTGCTGGCAGAAATGGAAAGCGATAAGCAAAAGAATGAAACAAGACCTTCACCTCATGCCCTATACAAAAACCAACTCAACGTGGACTAAAGACTTAAATGTGAATCCCTTAATTATGAAGGCCATCAATGAAAAAATAGGGACAAATGTGAGGGCACTAATTCAGGGAATACACAGAGTACCAAAGATTTTGAAAAGTACATAAACAAAAGTAGACAAAATAGATGATTGGAACATGCTGAAAATTTAAAACTTATATGCATCAAAAGACTTCATCAGAAGAATAAAAAGGAAACCCACAGAATGGGGAAAAAATCTTTTGCAATGGCACATTAGACAAGGGATTCATTTCTAAAATATCTAGGCAACTACAACATCTCTACAAGAAAAAGACAAATCACCCAATTTAAAAATGGGTGCAGGACATGAACAGACACTTCATCAAGGAGGAGATCCAGGCAGCCAACAAATATATGAAGAAATGTTCACGATCACTAGCCATTAGAGAGATGCAAATCAAAACAACATTGAGATATCATCTCACATCAACAATAATAGCAAAGATCAAAAAGTAGAGGATAATAAATGCTGGCGGGGATGTAGAGACCGGGGTGCTCCTACATTGCTGGTGGGATTGCAAAATGGCCCAACTTCATTGGAAAGCAATACGGTGCTTCCTCAGAAGGTTGGAAATAGAAATACCTTATGATCCAGCAATTCCTCTACTTGGTATTTACCCACAAGAAATATTAACACGAGTAGACATATGCACACCAATGTTCATAGCAGCACTATTTACAATAGCAAAAAGATGGAGACAGTCTAAGTGCCCATCAACTGAAGAATGGATAAACAAACTGTGGTACATACACACAATGGAATATTATGCTACCTTGAAGAATAAAAAGGATGCTGCAAGGTACCACATAACGTGGATGAACCTTGAGGATATTATGTTGAGTGACATTAGTCAGTCACAAAAGGAGAAACACTGCATAGGACCACTACTGTAAAAGACTAAGAAAAAGAAACCACACTAAAGGGAAAGGAGGGGGTACTTTGCTGGTTACTGGGATGTGGGGGGTGGGGCGAGGGGAGGGTGCTAGGGAGGAGGGCAATACACAAGAAGGTGCAGAGGAATGGAAGAACAAAGTGGATGGGAGAACAATTAGGCAGGTTTCCATGAGCTAAGTGGGAGAGAGGTAAATAATGATGTATGCACAACCTGGGAACAACAGGGCTCTGGGATACATGGATTGAGACATGGTTGGAATGGGCAAAAGGGGGGAAATAATGTTAAGAGGCTTGGCTGTCTTTTGAATCTTGGTTTCTATGTCATACCATTATACAATAGACATTTAAGGGGGAGACAAAGGAATAGCCAGAAATATCACCATAGAAAGCTTGTAAGTCCATCTTCTGCTTATAACTGACTGGACCATCAAGGGGGAAGAGTAGAGAGCTGGACCCTACCCAGAGAAGCAGTGATGCCAGAGATGGAGGCAGACAGGATGATGATGGTGTGGACAGAAGGAGTGGCTGGGGACTCTGGACTCAGGGAGGGAGAGGGGCTGTGTGCTGGAGGCGGGGGGGCAGGCTTGCAGGGTATACCCTTTGGCTGGTTGATGATGCATGGAGGGGATTTTAACCATGGCAATGAAACAACATGCGATAGGATGAATGCAAAGCTAATGTTCTCCCATGTAAAATTAACTACTCCACACATTCTGTTACAGAACTTCTACCTTTACAGCTATGACAGTTGCAATTAGTCATGATAACAATCACTTACTATCAAATCCTAAGGATCTTATCCCCATTCCTTATCACCAGACATGTCTAGACAAGATGAAAACTATTCAGTGGGGATTCTACCTTGCACTACATACTGTTAAACTAAACTACCTCTTGAAAACTTGTAAGCAAGTCACTTCATGACTTTATAGACCCCTCTCTCCCTCCTCCCCCCATTTTAGGTAGCCAATGTCTAAGTTGCCCATCCCTATCAACCCATTATTCAGAGGGGATAGGACTGATACTTGATGTGTCTAACCTCTCTTGTTAAAGACATTTTCTTTCTTCCTGTAAGATGTTTTTGACATCATCCCACAACTCTTCTGGGCTTCAATCATTAGTGCCTAAAGCATCAAACCTGCTCTTGAGATGATGTCTAAATTCAGGTGGGATATATTCAAGGTCATACTTTAGCTCTTGTGGAGTAGTTTTAACTTACTTCAGCTTCAGCCTGAACTTGATGTTGTTTTAAGGTGTTACTGAGTTGGCTCCTACTCACAACAACCTATGCATAACTGAATATAACACTGTCCAGTCCTGTACCATCCTCCCAACTGTTACTAGCCTTGAGCTCATTGCTGTGGTCACTATGCCAATCCATCTCATTGGAGGTCTTCCTCTTCTTCACTGATCCTCCACACTGCCACATTACCAATCACAATGTCCTTCTCCAGACTCTAGTCCCTCATGATAATATATGCTAAGTATGAAAGACTAAGTCTCACCATGCTGGAGCATTCTGACTGTACTTCTTCCAACACAGTTGGGCTGTTAACTAGAAGGTCCATGGTTCAAGCTGACACTAGCAGCTCCATGGGAGAAAGGTTAAAGTCCATAAAGATTTATAGCCCCCAAAACCATACGGGCAGTTCCACTTTTCCTACAGGATCTCTATGTGTTGGAATGGACTCAACAACAGTTGGTATACGAATGATTTGGTCATGGTGTTTAGTCCCTCCTACCCAGTAACTTCCTTGAAGGAAGGGATTATGTTTAATTCTTTCCAACTTTGTGTTACTCTACCAGGTTTATGTTTGTTTGTTTTATGAATAAATGAACAAATGCATAATTAAAAGTCTAACTGGTTAGCAATTATATTTCTTAATGAATTAATATGATCTTTAAAAAAAAAAAATCCAAAAGCACTAGACTGGGCTGAGGGGACAATTTGTGTTGACACGGAAAATGGGCGCCTTAAAAGACATATATTCGTTAATGCATTGCAGTCACTCAGGTTATTTATCTACCTCAATCTGCGTGTTGTTGTCCTGTCCATCATCCATGAGAAGGTCCGAGAAGCCTCTAGGCTCTGTAGAATCAGGACCCAGGCTTGCTCGGTTCGTGTCGACCGCCTTGAGAAAGTCTAAGTTTCTTCTCCACCTGTGCCTGTCAACTTGTGAATACACTTCCACCTCATCCTCTGTTTGAGGGAAGGCCTGAGTCACTCCATATCGCCAATCTGTTTGAAAAAGAAATAAAATGGGTTACCATTTGTTATCTACTAGAGCTGAACAATAAATTCTCCTAGTCATGAGAAGAGGAAACTAATAACAGCAAAACCAGTTTAATTGTAATATTTAGAGCTGTTTTGAACATCTGCAACTGAGATGCAATTGTAGATACATCAAAAGTAGTGACAATGTGCAACTTTTCACTGAGTGCCTAAAACAAATGTGTAGCCCAAAAGCAATGCATTATCTTATTTCTTTCCCCGCCTCTCAACACTTCATAAACACCCTCAGCTTGTTCTGAGAAAGTAAGCTAGAGCTCAAGCGAAGGAACAAGACGGAGCAGTGGCCACATCATTTGAAAATGAAAAGTCAGACATGATTGTCATTAACTTCAATCCTATATTCACTGCACGTCAGTTTTGCTGGTCAGCAAAGAGACCGTGCTGCACTTGAACTGGTTAAGTCATGTATGGAATTATCTTAGCGTGAATGTGCTCACCTCCCTTGTAGTGTTCAAGTCAGACTTGGTTCATTGCCTGGCTCATTTAATAAACACCCCACTCAGGAGTCATCGCAAATGCTTTGTGTTCAGTTATGCTACTTTCACCTTGGAATCTGGACAAGGTGGTAAAGAATGACAGTGATGGGCACTTATAGGAATGGATGGCAAGGAATGCAGATCAAATCACAGAGGCATTTTAAAGCCATCTGCAGGGACTGGCCTTGCTGACCCAGCTTATCCTGCTACTATAGGAAGGAAAATTAGATTCAATCATTACTCCTAGTCTTTCATTTCATAGGTCAGTAGGGGAAGATGTACCACAAGTATGGGAAATTCAGTTTCTGACCAAGAAAAACAGCCCTCGTATACCCAATCATTATGAAAAGATAAGAACTGACAGGTTTTATAACGGGCAGGAGAAGAATTCAAAGGGATCTAAGAGAGTAAGGATATCATTAGAGCTATGATTTCACTATCAATACAAGAACATTCTAAGGGATTTAAATACAGGATATATTAATAGTCTCAAATCAATTATTCAGAACTCTAATAAACTACTTCTAAGCATTTTACAATGGAGTCCTGGTGTGGTACTGCAGGATAACGCACTGGTTTTAAAGATTGGTATTGGTTTGAACCTCAAGTTCAGTCATTCAAATCCATCAGTCACTCCTTACAAATCCTGTACAGAGTGGCTATGAGTTGGAACCATCTCGACAGCACTTAACAAAAACAACATGCATTTCACATTTTATTCTTTGATACCAGCTAATTCAAACCCACTCAGTGGCACTGCAGAATAAAGGCCTGGTGTTCTGCTACTATAAATTTGTTGTTGTTAAGTGTCGTCGAGTCAGTTCCGACCCACAGCGACCCTGTACAGAGTTTCCAAGGCTGTGCATCTTTACAGGAGCAGAAAGCCTCATCTTTCTTCCACGGAGCGGTTGGTAGTTTCAAACTACTGCCCTTAATGTTCGCAGCCTGATTTGTAACCACTATGCTACCAGAGCTCCTTTATAGCCAAAAAAAATCCAGTGGAGTGCATTTCCATTCTGAATGACGTGGGATCCTCATGAGTCCAAATGAAATTGACAGTAATGAGCTTGTAGCATTTCACAGGAGTCTTGGGCGGTACAAATGGCCAAGTATCTGAGAGCCAAAAGATTAACCAAAACTCTTGCACTCTGAACACATTTAGGGTTCTTTGAAATAAACACCTGGTGAACTGCTAGTGAAAAGTTATAGCCTTGAAAACACTATGGAATTCAGTCTATGTGTCAAAACAGGGTGTCACCCAAGTTAGAATTAATTTCAGAATAATTAGTTTAAAAAAAAAACAAACAAAAAATTTTCACAGGCTCTACTTTTCTATCTATATGAGCTCTGGTAGTGTAGTGATTTTAAGTCGGCCTGTTGATCTTAAGGTCAGCAGTTTGAAACTACCAGCTGTTCCAGGGAAGAATGAGGAGGATTCTGCTCCTATAAAGATTTACAGCCTCAGAAACCCTATGTAGGGTTGCTATGAGTTAGAATCGCCTCCAGAACATACCACACCACCACCATTCCTATCCATGCAGAATTCTAATTAACCATGTTAAGGCTACCTCTAGTGGTGGTGGTTATGTGCTGTGGAGTCGGTTCCAACTCACAATGACTCTGTATAAGATTTCTGAGGCTATATATCTTTACAGGAGCAGCAAGTCTCATTACTCCCCCTTAAAAAACTGGTAAGTTCAAACTGCTGACCTGTGGTTAGCAGCCCACCTCATAATCCACTGCACCACCAGGCTCCTTCTATCATTAGTACCCACAGCATAATGGTCTCAAATGTCCCCCTTTGTACGTAAAATGGGGCTAATAGTTCTCCAGAGAGCGCACACTCCTCAGTTTCACAGTGAACTTAAATGGATCTTTTATTATTTATTGTCTGTTGTTTAAAGCTCAGAACAAAAAACTACCATAGTTTTTTGCAATCTAGACCTTTCCAAAGTCTGATAGAATATCAGAGTTTATAAGAACCACAGAGACAAAGGAGCTCTGGTAGTGTAGTGGTTACGAATCGGGCTGCAAGCCGCAAGGTCAGCAGTTCGAAACTACCAGGAGCAACATGAGGCTTTCTGCTCCTGTAAAGATTTACAGCCTCGGAAACCCTGTACAGGGTTGCTATGAGTCAGAACCGACTCCACGGCACATAACAACATGGCACATAACAACAGAGATCAAAAAGGACATATTCCACTAGAAAACACCAAAAGCCAGAGAAATGTAGCATTATGATCAATTTATGGAACGGTAACAAGATTGAAAAGAAAGCAATTCCTTCTACCCTAGAAATACTGTTGTTAAGGGTCATCAAGTTGGTTTGGACTCATAGCAACTCTGTATAGGGTTTCTGAAGAGCGGCTGGTGGGTTTGAACTGCAGACCTTATTATTATGGTTTGCAGTCCAGTGGTGATTTTACAGTGCTACAGGTATTCAATAAATACATCTAACCGTTATTATCACCATCTCTATAGAATATTCTTCCTTTTCTAACTCTACTCTTCACTTCTGACTATTGAACAGTACTTCATAAGTGCTTGTTGACTGAATGAATGAGTGGAAGAATTAATTGCTGGCAGTCCTTGAAGAACTAAGTAATGGAAGAAATATTGCACAAAAATCCAGGAGAGCTGGGCTAAGTTTCTTTCTGTTAGACTTATTGGCTATGGTACCTAGTAGAATTTGCAACATTCTCGGTGCTTTAAGTTGTGCCATATAGGAATGAATATATTTTAACTACAAAAGCAGACAGCTTTTCCTAAAGCTGTGTCAGGCTCTAAGACCTATGATTCTAAGTAACACTACATAAAGCAATTTTATTTGCTTTATTTATATGTTCTGCCTCATTACCAAAAACATATGAGGCAACTTGCAACAAATGTAAGCAATAAAGCTTTTTAACAACCAGATAAGATCTCAGAGCACAACATATGGGCCAACTTTAGAGGTGAACCATTTGCTATGCACAGGGGTTGGATCCATGGTGGACAGGTTTCAGCAGAGCTTCTAAGACAGACTAGGGAAAAAGGCCTGCAATCTCCTTTGGAACATCGTTATTGTGGATGTTAAGTACCATCAAGTCAATTCAGACTCATAGCAACCCTGTAAAGTGTTTCCAAGGAATAGCTAGTGGGTTTGAACCACTGACCTTGTGGTTAGCAGTCCAGTTCTTATACTACAGTGCCATACCAGGACTAGCCAATGAAAATATTATGGATCACAAAAGAACATTGCCTTACTTGGTTGCTTTGGACACAACCCTGGAGGAAGACATCGCTTTTGGTGAAGTAGACGAAAAGCAAAGCTGAGAGAGACCCTCTGTGAGGTAGCAAAGATACCCAGAGTGATGGGACTAAAATAAGCTGGCAGTCCTGAGCACAACACAGAACCACACAATGTTGAATTCTGTTGTTCATAATAAGGCTGTCTGTCACAATTCTGCAGGGCTCAACTGCAACTATCCAGCACACACACACACACTCTCTCTAGGTCTAATGTAGAAAACAAAGGTATATGCTTACAAAGCAGAGCAAAGAAAATCAAACATATGTGGAAACAATAAATCCAAATGACTAATGCACCACATGAACCTTAGCCTCCAAGACCAACAGACCAAAAGACCTTAATGGGGGCCAGCTACCACAGCAGACCACTCTTAAAAGGATCATAACAATGGGTCCTGCATAGAGTGGGAGAAAAATGTGGAACAAAAGTCAAAATTATATATAAAAAAAGACCTATATTATGGTGTAATAGAGACTGGTGGAACCCCCAAGATTGTGATCTTCAGGCCTAGTAACTGAACTCACCTCCATGGCTCAACTTCCAGCCAAATGACAGACAAACCTGTAAGATGAACAATAATACCAAGGAGGTATGCCTTTCTTAGAACTATCAACCATTCGTGATCAAAAGGGCATTATTTGCCCAAGGATAAAGCTCAGGAAACAAGAATGGGAACAGGAAAAAGGGAGGAAGTGGGAAGAGCCCCAATGTGGGGATTACAATCAATGTCAATGTAAAAAATCTAAAAGAACGGCTCAATGGAAAATCAATTTGATCTATAAACATTCACCCAAATCACTATTTTAAAAAGTTAAAATAACAGATATATGCTTACATACAATCGAGTATAGTGTTTGTATTTGTTTTTTCACTTGTTTTAAATAAGGAGTTTGTGTTTTTCATTCTGTTGTTTGATTTATGTGTGTGCTTCTCTTTGCTGTCACATTGACAAGCGCAACTGTCAATGTGCTTGTCTCCATCATTGACTAGTTACCTCCTCATAGAATTTCTGCCTCCAACATTACAAACAGATCACTAGCTTGCTCTGATTATGTGCACAGAGATTAGACAGGATTTAAAGACCTACAGGGTTTTCTAATAGGGAACTATGTGAGAGTGTGGGACCCAGAGCAGTGATACCAGAGAAGGAGGCAGAGATGAGGACATGGAGAGGAGCA